GAAACATACTGATCTACATCTATAGATCTGTTTATATGGCATCATACATGCTTTAAAAATGTTAAAGGGGTTGTGGATAACATCAAGCATATATGAATTGTACACACTTTTAATATAACGCATACATGCCTGTTACACACTTTTGGAATCTCACAATTCTAATGGATTATTTCATGGTCTCTGAAAACCCAATAATATGCACAGAATGTAGAATATAACAAACACATTTTATTTGGTATTGTAATGAACTTTCATTATAACACCACTACCAACAGTTTGCAGACTTGAAACGAGTCAATATTATAATTTGAAACAATGGTAGTAGATGTTTTTAATACGACTTTTGAACATTGTGCCAAGATTTCTAGCTGTTACTGTTGGTAGGCTGTCAGTGTCGCCAATTTTCATTTGTGGTAGGTTTATTTTGTCTAAGATATGTTATGATTCTTAGAATAACAGCTGTTTTATCTGGGTTTAATTTTAATAAATTGTGTGTCATCCCTTTGCAAATGAGGGCTACACATACAGCTTTCCATACGTGAAATTGTATTACTTATGCCTTTAGTCTTGAAGGTCAAATACATGTGTGCATCATCAGCATACATAGATACTCTGTTGTTACACCTAGTGATGTATACTCTGTGGATAGAATCCAGATTCTAGATTGTCGAAGTTTGATGGGATGCCATTGACTGTACAACTGTCAATCACAGAGACTTGGTTTTAACCATGCAATAGCAGCCCCTGATATTCCAATACAGTTTGCCAGGGAATATAAGAATATTGTATGATCTACTGTGTCTAATTGTTGTTGCCGTCTAAAGACCGACATGGACTAAAATATTGTAAACTGATAAAATTCAGTATACCAATTAGGTCACTGACCACGAAATCCAACTAATTTACATATAGGACAAAATAGAATGTCTGCCCAGCAACAGTCACTGTTGCTTAGCAACTAAGTTGTAATATAATTAGGTCAGGTTAGTGAGTTTAGTTGAACACAAGCAGGCAACCAGAAAACACATGTATTTTGGATGGACACCAAGCAAAGGGATATACGTTTTTT